AGTTTGTACTTTCTAAGATTATCTAGACACCACTGACAGACGGTGAAGGAAAACATCGTGAGGAAACCTGGGCTTATAATTTCTAATTATAAGTTTGTAATCGCCTACCCGCATTGAGCAAGCGTGGTGATTAATACTCAAACCTTCTCCGTGTGAGAAAAGGCTTTGCTCAGCGGTGTAAGTAATCAATTTATTCTGTAAGCAGAAAAACCTCAGAATAAAACTAGTATAATAAAACTGAAATAAAAACAGGTAGACAAAGAAAAAACCAACGAAAGTACTATTGAGTGGATTCGTTGCGGAGTACGAGACAATTTCTATTCGGGTCCATTTGAAATTCTTCAGACCCAACACCTTAGTTTATGCGTGACAGTTTTCAAACGAAAGTTGTGACACTGTAATATAGAGTTGTTTGCGTTGATATAACTATAAAATTATATATCAGTGGTTACTAGCTGTTGTCCGTAAAAAAGCTACTTCGTGTATATATATAAATATAACGACTGCACGGTTGGTGCGGTGGCTGGGCAACCGGCTGCCGTGCAACGTGTCGCGGGTTCGATTCCCGCACGGAACAACACTTTTTGTGATCCATAAATTGTTGTTTCAGGTCTGGGTGTCATTGTGTATGTGAACTTGTATGTTTGTAAACGCACCCACGACACAGGAGAGAATCATAATGTGGGGCTACGTTTAAAAAAAAAAAATTCAACACTTCCTCTATTACTTTGAAAAAAAAAGATGAGCTGTCAAAGTGTAGTGTAACATTAACTCATTTATTCATAATTTTGAATTATTCCAATAAACTGATCTAGTTATCTTGTCAATCATTTACACGAGTAAGCCCTAAATCACAAGCTCTATTTGATGGCCAGAAACAACTTTTTAAACCTAACCACATTTGCACATTAATAAGATTCTGCCAATAAGTTACAGTGTACATCCAGCCTTGTACACGCAGTTCCATGAATTTTATGTAGCGAAAGAATTGAAGGTGTTGTTGATTAAATACGATCGTTTCCATCCCACGTTGTGTGGGATCCCACCAGTGACGCACGAGCCACTTAAATGAATGAAAGTATTTCTCTTGCCCGTCTCATTCTGTAAATACACGATAGTGAATACTTTTCTACGCTATTAGGGTGGGAAAGGGAATATATTGAAGGAATTGGTTTGCTTTTCTGCTTTGATTTTTTTGTGTAATTGTGTGTCTTATAAGAATGTGAGGTGTAAGATTCTGACGTCTTGTAAGATTTATGCTGGTACTTAATGCACCTTATGTCACTGCGTCATTGGCCGAGTGGTCGCAAGTGCGACTGCCGGGCAAGGGGTCTCGGGTTCGATTCCCGGGTCGGGCAAAGTATCACTGGGTTTTTCAAAAAAATCTCAGTAGTAGCACGGAGTCTGGAATTGTGCCCGGTATATGGCAATAGGCTCACCCCCTATTACATGGGACTCATAACATAAATAGTGAAAATTGGGTGTTACATTGTACAATGGCATAATGTACACCTCTGCCTACCCGTTCGGGGATAAAAGGCGTGATGTTATGTTGTATGGATGTCACATCGATAGCCCGCGACGATCCATTGGTCTATAGGACTCCTTTATAGAAGTTTGTCATATTCATCAACTAATAGCGAGACAGACTGAAAACCTCCTTTTTTGAAATCGGTTAAAAAAGAAAGTAATAATAAGAGAGAATTCAATAATGAATAATTGTGCCAAACCTAAAGCAACTTTAACTTAGTGTATTTAAGGATAAATATATCACAAATCCAACATAACAATTATGTCTAACAGGAACACTATCGACCACTAGCCACTACGCCAGACGGGAAGTTCATCATAATATAATTTGCTCTTTTGACAAGTTCGCCCCTGTCTATTTATAAACATAATTAAATCGAGTCAAACTCACAATTTAATTGGAAACTAAGAAACTTGAAGCGAGCGACGTTCATTGAATACTTAGAGGAAACTTATTTACTTTTTAATAACTTCTTGGAGGCGTGTATTGATTTGTTAATTGTATTTATTAATTTATATATGTATCTGTGGTGAATTAACGAACGCTTAATATGAAATAATAAAGCCTAAATGAGTTCCTTCTTTGGTTTTATAATAACTATCGTGAGACATATTAAATTAACTAAAAATCGCGTGTTATTTACGTGAATATACTGAGAAAAGCTCTACTAGTTTCGAACCACAGAGGGGTTTTTCCTCATGAGCAGCGTGCGCGGTCGCGGCGATGTCGCCTATATCTAGGCTGCGCACTCGTAACACCAGTGTATCGGGGTCATAGTATAAAGAACACAGTAGGTTATCTAAGGCCGCCCGCCGAGTTATTAGCCTACTCTTGCGTTGATCCCCAGGGTTGTCACTTTTACTTTTAGTTAATATTTTCGAACAAGCAGCACTTGATCTAAATTTATGAAATGAAAAGCATATTATAATTGAATATTTTATTAATTTATAAATTTAGTAAAAATAAAAAGCTTATAAAAAGATTATTAACTTCTTAAAATAAACTTTAGCTCTATACATAGTATTCAGAAAGTAAATTTTGGAATACATTTATATGGAAAAATGCGACACGGCCACGCTCTTAACAAATCAGATAAACTGTGAAATAAACAATACAATACCACATTTTCTTATAATATTTAAGTATAGTAGGTAATTACATTTCTGGTTGAGTAGGAACTATGAAGAATGATAAGAGTAAGAATAAGTAAGTAGGTATCTCATCATCAAGTACCTACAAATTATATTATGCTAGAAAAAGTGACTAGCTTACCTTTTCTGTTCAATAGGTAATCTGAACAGAGACAGTTCTGGAATCGATTAATTATTAAGACTCCCAAACACACAGCAATACGTTCTTCTACGGTTATCAGACATTTTTTATTTCATTTAACAGTGCCGAAAAGTGATGCGCGCGCGAACCTCGTGCAGTGTTAGCCCTGCCTGGCGCACTGAGAAACGGGTCGAGATTTTGTTAAAGTGTGCGTGCGTCGACGCATAGATACTATGGCGCACACATATAAGCCGCGCGCGGAGCATTTGTATGAAGATAACCTACTTTGTTCTTTATACTATGTCGGGGTGTCCATGGGCAGCGCCGATTGTTTACCATCAGGTGATCCGTCCGCTCGTTTACCGGATTATTCCATGACGTATTATTTTTATAGAGCAAAATATTTGATCTAATTCACTTTAGCTTCTCGATTTAAGTGTTTTATCACTTAGGGCTTATTTTAGCATCGCTGGTTACTTACTGAAGTACTATCACACTTAATTAGCAAATACCGTATGGAAGACCACATTATCAATCAGTTAAACTAGAAACAATACAACCATAACAGTGTTGAAACATACATACATACATACATAACTTCACGCCTCGTTACTTTACTGCCTCGTTGGCCGAGTGGTCGCAATTGCGACTGCCGGGCAAGGGGTCTCGGGTTCGATTCCCGGGTCCGGCAAACTATTACTGAGTTTAAAAAAAAATCTCAGTAGTAGTACGGAGTCTGGAACCGTGCCCGGTATATGGCAATAGGCTCACCCCCTATTACATGGGACTCATAACATAAATAGTGAAAAGTGGGTGTTACATTGTACAGTGGTATTATGTGCACCTTAGCCTACCCCTTCGAGGATAAAAGGCGTGATGTTATGTTATGATGTTATGTATAACTTCACGCTTGTCTCCCAAGGGTGTTTGCGAGTCTATTGAACGTCAATTGCTACAATTACTTACGCTTACATACTACTTACGCTTCATCAACAGTCATCTTATGAGTCTTTACATGGTTCCTAAAAATGGAACCATACTTAACAAAGTACTATTAATACCTACAACTCAACAACGATTTCGCTTTACAATCGCTGCAAGAGAATAATCGTTCTCAACCTCTTCAGGCATCGCCATTTTTCTATAAAATTCCCAGCTATTTTCAACCGATCTCCGTTCCTTTATGCAGCGGACTTTAAAAGGAGATAAAGGGGCCTCGAGGGATGTGAAGCTGACCTAGTGACGTAATATAGTGCAGTTTATTAATTTTATAAACGTTCTTGTAAATAAAATTGAGTTAATTGATGTGAGGTTAAGTGGTTGCTTCATGTTTGTGTAGTTTATAAAGATGGATCATTTGTGCTTAGAAATTTCTGTTTGTTACTCGAGTACAAAAAAGTGTTGCGCTATTGTGTTTTTCATATTATTTTGTAGTTGAAATAAGATCTGGAATTGGGATGATGACAGGGTATGAAAATTAAAAATCTAATTAGTCCGTAAGTTACGCAATGAAAAAAGATTTCTCTCGTATTTTTTTATTTTGTTGTATATTAAAACAATACTTAGATAAAACTAATCAAAGTTTAGGAGTAGGGGCTTAATGGTCATTTCTACGTATAAAATGTACATAGAAGTGACGTCACGCGACATTGCAAATCAATATATCGTCGAAAGTATTCGTTTCTGTAAGAAAAAAAAATACGTGTCTAATGATTTAAATTAATCTACCAGACGGTCATTAAAATAAAAATTAGGCATCTACCCTATTGTTTTTGATATTTGATTTTATCATTAGTAGTTAGACGTGGTGGGTAGTACAATAGTCTCATCATAAAATCCGATTAGTAATCAAAGGGACTGTTAATCAAGACTTACCGATTGCCCGAATTCTTACTCGCACGTATACGGCCATCACCGGGGAAACCCTTAGTAGCTTTGTTAGTTTAAATTAGACGTCTTCATTTTATTAGCCGATTGCAATATGACCAATGTGCCATGTAATGGAATAAAAATCACCACATATAATGTTTATATCTTATCCGACAACCTCTCAGCGGTAGCCGACAAGCAATGCACAACTTGATTCCCCCTAGTCCTTTCCATCATCGTACCACAAGACAATCGGCGAAGCGTCACCGATTCATGGTAGATGGGACACCCACCACGCATGAAGCGCTTCACATTAAGCTTCCTTGTGCGTACTGCTAAGGAGTGGAATTCTTTGCCAGAGTCTGTATTTCCTGAAGGATATAACCTGGGTGTCTTCAAGGGCCGAGTGAATAGGTTGCTTATGGGTAAACGTGCTCCATCGTAGACCACATCATCGCTTACCACCAGGCGACATAGTGGTCAAACGTCAGTCCCATCTAATATACAAAAAAATACAATCTTTCGCATTTGTATTAAGATAATTCTCTTCTGACAAATTCGCGTTTCGCAGTCCTATTAACGTTTCTTTTCTTTTCTCTTATCTTTGTAGATTTGGACAATCTTTTATGTTATTGCTGCCCTTTTTCTTACAAAGCAGATTTTGTCAAGTTTATTCACTAATCTCATTGTCGACGAGATTTTAATGGGTGCGGCCGCGGGAGCAAAATGTGATTCTGTTTTGATTTAATTTTGAATACTGAGGGGAAATATTATTACGTTGGTGTAAGTGGGTGTTGTTGTGACGTATGTATAGAAATAGATATCATTGTGGGTAGAAGAACTTGTGTTTATTGGGGATGAATTGAAAACTTAGTTGCCAATTATAACTACTTTATTGACTAAACATCGCGGGTTACTCACGTGAATATATTGAGAAAAGCTCTACTAGTTTCGTAGTAGACCGCGCATGCTGCTCATGAGGTAAAACCCCTCTGTGATTCGAAACTAGTAGAGTTTTTTCAGTATATTCACTTGAGTAACCCGCGATTTTTAGTTAATTTAGTATGTCTCACGATAGTTATTATAAAAACAATTATACATAACTACTGTACACCGTAGGCAAACTTACAGTCGTTCACCATGTACACAGACTGTAATCATGAGCCCCAATGTGGCTTAAAACTAGTCGAACATTCTATAAAAATTTAAACGTAAGTTAGCCGTCAATTTTATGTTGGTAAATGTTGTTAATCAGTACTTAAATATCAAATTTGTTTTATTTTCATTATATAAGTAAAAAATGCGGACAAAACTGCGTCGAAACGTCTAGTCTAACAGCGCCCCGAAATTCCGAGCCAGTGTGCGGCCACTTTTAATTTCATCATCTCGTGAAACGCTCAAAATGAATTATTCAATGGAGTCAGGATTCGGGAGCAACGCCAAAGGTATTCCGGGAAACATTGTCTTTGAATATTTTGCCTCGGTTTTAATATTTACATGGAAAAGAGCCTCTTTGATGTAGTTTTCATTAATTAGTTAGAGTACTTACGGTATGTGTGATGTTAGGAACAAGGCATTATGAAGGCTATTGTTCTAAGTATAATGTTGAAAGTATGATTAAAAATTTAGGTACTTGTAATGTATCGTTTGCTACTTTATTTTGGTCTATATTTTTAGTGTTCACTTTAAATAGTTCCATTGTAGTAGGGGCGAAATGACAGTCATAATTTTAGACACCTAACTTATATTACAAAAAATCTTTGAATTAAAACTTATTCGCAATTTTCGGCCTACAGAGGTCTTCTGCTTTTTATATCACACAACTGAATATACAATCTTTAAGATCTTTAAGATACTATATTCTATGTACAGTGTGTATGATATACATCAACTACATGTTTAAAGATTAATAAAAAAATGAACAGTGTTGCAATGAGCACATTTCTATCAAACCCTTTGGGGAATTTCAGGCGTGATATTATTACCTTACCTATATTATATTATTCTCCATCCTGTAAATATAACTGAGGTCTTCTGTATGCTTCTTCATTGATGGAACTAAATACATAATATTTGCAATATATCCTAATTAACTAAAATCACGGGTTAATCACGTGACTATACTGAGAAAAGCTCTACTAGTTTCGAACCACAGAGGGGTTCTTTCTCATGAGCAGCGTGCGTAGTCGCGGCGATGTCGCGCAGCTCAATCGTAACCTAGTAGAACTTTTCTTAGTATATTCACGTAAGTAACCCGCGATTTTAGTTAATTTAGTATGTCTCACAATAGTTATTATAAAAATATATCCTAATGAATGTAAAATCTAAATGTTTAAGGATTAACAAAAGAATGAACAGTGTACATCTCTAACAAGTCCTTCAGGGAACAACTGGCGTGAGGATCTCCAAGAAAATTGCCGAAAACCTTTAAAAAGAGCGTTCTTTTATCTCATCAATAACCCCCAATCTATATTCCATTCGAGACGTAATAAGCTTTCAAAGTCTTCAATTCTTGGCTACCATTAGGTAATAGCCCATTTCTTGCCGTTCCCATTTACTCCCATTTTGAAGTCCGGGTTTTTGAAGTCTTAATATTGATGCACATCTTTGAAGTCGTTTCATCAAAAGCTATTGTTTCGCCCTTCGAGGCGTTAATTGGAGTTTTTAGTCCCATTCTGAGGCGTGAGCTCGAATTATGGATTCATAATTGTCTCGTGGATTAATTGTTCCTGCTACACGATGGATGTTAGGGATAGAATAATTATTCGTTGTTTTGTGAATGGATTTATGGTGTCGTTGTAGGTAAGTTTAGTAGATCATTTCTCGTGTTTTAATAACACACATGAGCTGTATGTTCACTCGTTTTGTACGTAATTATTTTTTTTTTATGGCATATGAGGCAAACAAACAGACGGATCACCTGATGGTACACGATCCGCTCGGCCCTTGAACACCCGCGTCACAGGTACGTTGCCGGCCTTCTAAAAAGGAATACGCTCTTTTCTTGAAGGTTTGAAGGTCGTATCGGTTCATAAATACCGCTGACGGTAGATCATTCCACAGTTATGCTGTGATATTCATTGTTTTGGGTGTGAGATGTCCATAATGAAGCGTGCAGGTTTTTTTCGAAGATTTTTAAAAGGCAAGCTGCTAGTCGGTGCCTGTATCGCGCACCCCAACATCAAGGCGCGTAGGTATAGGTCGCGTTTCGTCCATTTGTATGAAGTTGGAATAGAAAGAAAGAAACAAAGAAAGAAAGAAAATGCATTTATTTGGCCATTGGCACACGAAAGCAAGGATCATTAAAATAAAAATAAAAAATACAGTCAAAATAAAACCAAAACATTAATAATAGATTTAAAAGAGAAAAGAAATGAACAAAATCATTAAAGCATAACAAAATATAATTAGAATAATAACCGAAACTAAAAACAATAAATATATATATGTATATATATTAAACAAAGAAAGAGATATAAATAACGATAACGAGATAAAAATAAACGAGAATACTGTATGATATTATAACCGTGACCTTACTAACCAGTATCATCCACTTAGCTCTATTTTAGTCCACTAAAACCCTTTTACACAGAGTCCAAGTGTACCTGAATAGTTAGAAATCAGTCAGTGTCGTGATCCCGTGCAATATAAAGATATAGTGGTAAAAGGTGCAGGGTTCATACATCAACGTCGATGGCGACACTCTGAGACTTAATGCGGGCCAGAGAATTGGATGCATGATGGACTGTTTAAATATGGTGTAATAGTTGGCGCCATTTTGTTGTTGTAGTTCGAAATTGGTGAATATTTGCATTTTATTTTTTAAATTGATTGATTGAACGCCAGTAAAGAAAGAAAGAAAAAGCATTTATTCAGCACCAGGCACGATGCAGCATAAATAAAATATAAAAAAGACAATAAAGGTGTGACAGTGGAAGTAATAAAAACATTGAGTTGAAAAATTAAAACAGAAGAATTAGAAGAGAGACGCTGACAACATGCCTATGCTAAAAGGGTCACCCACTCAGTGTAAGCCAAGCATACAAGTCACCCAGCACTGATTTTCAGTGGGCACCCATGCAGTGACGCACGGATGGTAGCAACGTTGTATGGTTAGACAAAGACACAAATTTAGATTATTTTTAATTAATGTTCTCTCTAGAGGTATATTAATTATTATTTTGCAATGAGCTAATAGTTTTATTAGAGAACCGACGGATAGATAGATATATTTATTTTTGTGTCTCTAAAGTGCTGTTTGTGTTGTTATGAAAATAAATGCTAGTAATTTGACTGTAGGTAACAGAGTGGTGGTAAAAGTGCGACTACCAAGTTATGGTTTCCGGGTTGGGCAAGGTATTATTGGTTTCTTCTGTTTTTAGAAAATTTCTCAGTACTATATTTAAACAGGCGTACTAGATATAGATATCTAATAAAACGTAGGTACTGTATTGAATATGTACAATTCTTCTGTCTACCCCTTCAAAGATTGAAAGATGTATGAAAACAGGCTGTATTTATAAGGAAAAAAATTAGTAATAATATAAAAGTGGAAGTTTATATGTTTGTTAGTTTGTTTGTTATTCATTGACATCAAAACGACTGAACGTATCGGGATTCCATATGGAACAGGGTACTATGTCATCCCGAAGTTATTATATAGTACCATGTTGAACATTATAGTCTTGCTAGAATAACAATTATCCTACTTTTTGTCTCACGAGAACGCGGACAAAGCCGTGTATTATACAATATGTAAATACTAAAACAAAACATCTGATAAGATCACCTTTACCAGTAACTAGTAGGTCGCTTTCAGGGTAGAATACAGAATGCACTCAGAGACGAGATTTACATAGCAAAGAAGAACACTACCACAATGTAATAGATAACTGTCAGCCTTCGGATACCTTACTAGTGTTTGTAATCCCTGGATAGATTTCTTTAGATGGACTAGCTTTATTAAAGACTTACTTCTGCTGGCGGCTTCACCCACAGTTTTCTGGGATATAAAGTGGCTTATATGTCGTTCCAGGCCATAGTCTACTCCTCTGCGAACCAGTCATGCTAGCTAAGGAGGAGGCGGAGCACGTGAGGGAACGAACCTATTCACGACCCGGCCGTCGCGAGAGACACTCCGGGCGTCGGGGATCGCGAGACGATCTCCGGCTACCGTAACCACGGGCCTGCGGACAGCGAGCACGGGTGACTCGCCGCCCGACCAGAACCAGGCCCGAGCGTACGGCGCGTCGCGTTCCGCGCGCGCCTCAAGGAGCCATCAGACCACCATAGATGGGGCCTAACAAGGCTGATACCGATACGGAGCCGCGGAAGACTTAACGGGTTGCCGGGGCTCCGGCTCGAAGTGCAAGAGTAGGAACGGGGTGGTTTTTAGTCAGCAGGAGTCTGACACTCCCTCC